AGATAGATAGATAGATAGATAGATAGATAGATAGATAGATAGATAGATAGATAGATAGATAGATAGATAGATTTTATTTACTCTGTCATAAATTTGTACAGCTCTCACTAGTTTTATACAGGTCCCATAAAAGCAGGCAATGTTTAATATTAATTTATCATCGATGATTAATAAAAGGGAAGCCATATAATAGTAAAAAATAGTAAAAAATTATTAGATTAGCAAAGATGAAAAAGTTAAAATTAAAAAAGATAGAAGATAAGAAGATAATTGTTACTTATAGCTTTTATCAATCGTTTTATATAAAAAGTTGCTTATTATTTGTTACTAACTTAGTTATAAGACTTTAGTTTATATATTTATAAAAAGGCAGCCAATATTTTAAGCAAATAAGGGAAATCCCAGTTCCCACTTACTCTCTCTCCTGTCCCTTCTCCTCTGCTCTATTAGCGCGCCTCTTTATAAATACTATCCAGTGACCAACACCCCCCCTCACCGCCAACCCGGTTCCTCGTCCTTATTGGTCAGGTGAAGCCGTTACCTCACTCCAGTGACGCAGCGTCTTCACGTATCCTTCATATTTTTTCTTTTTTTTTTATTCCTCCCTTCTTCTTGTTTCTTAACATAAGAGTCTTCCAGTCCGCTCAGAGAGGATAAAGCGGGACGCGGAACCTGGCGGAGGGGTGTGCTCGATAACCACACACTTTCCATCCCGGCAGGAGCGCGGCGCGCTGAAAAGCATGCACTCTCTCCATCTCTGCGCGTCCCTTTTCTCTCTCTCCCTCTCTCTCTCTTGCGCCCGCACACACACGCACGCACCTCGCGCGCACACGCGTACGTCTCCACTTGGCCGTAGTAAATTGCTGCATTGATCTCGGAGGCGAGTGTGGATCTGTCTCTTCAGTTTGACGGAGGGTCTCGGAGAGGCGCTGGGAAGAAAGAAAGTAAGTAAAAAAAAAGCTTATTCCTGTTTTACCCAATCCAGGTTAAGTTAAGCTTCCAGATGTCTGAGGCGGCACTTGTTCCGCATTCAGTTTGTCTCTATCTGCTTCTGTTTGAGAGAAAAACAACAACAAAAAAGTAGCGTTTACTGACGCACGTTTTCAAATCAACTAAAAACATCATTTTCATTTCTTTTTCCGATTAAAGCTCAGAGACTATAGTCAGTTTTTACTCTTAAATGGTTTTGGTTTAACATAAACGCCGCATAAGAGTCAAAAAATATATTTCTGGATGGTAATGCGCTCATCTTGGGAGCGCAGATTCATCCTCCTTCAACTGTCTAGTTGTTTAGAAGATGACAAATATCCCCCTATCTACAGATCTCCTGTGCGTAAAAGTAACAAGACTCCGGACTTAGAGACACAATGATGCCTTTTAGGTTAAGGACTACAAATTAGAATTTCAATCTAGATTTAGGTTAGATAATCTGAAGAGTTTAAAAACTCAAATAAATTTAAAGCAGTCAAATTTGGCTGAATTAGGTATTTCTGAATCCGAGTATTAACCATTCAGAGTTTAGATATGAAAATAACCTTTCCAGTCATTACCTGCATTTCACTTCTCAGTTGTGTGGTTGGTTTTCCTGCTCTTTAAATTCAGAGTCAAACTCAAGTTTCAGTTTTGACATCAAAACCACACACTCGCACTGTCTCACATCTCCTTTTTCAGTAAGTTTTACCTTTAAACGAACACTGCTAAATTTAATCTGCAACTTTTTTTTTTTTTGCATGTGTGTGTGTGTGTAAGTACAATCTTAACTGGCTTCTTTGGAATAGAAATGTTTGATGGTATTTGTGATTCTGTTGCAAAATGACTCTTTTTAGAATAAGATGTGCACAAATAACACCAGCAGAGAGGAAGGTGTGTATGCATGTATTGAGTGATTTAAAAATAAAACAAACAGACCTATTTTGGTTAAATGAAACAAACTTTTCAGGTCTTCTTAGCTAACATATTTCTTCACAACTGCATAGCAAAAAAAAAGGGTATTGTTTGAATCATGGCCTTGAAATCTCTTGCAAAAATATGCATTCTCGTAACTGGAACAACTCTGCCAGTCATGTTCGTTGGAGCTGGCAATGCCTGGATTTGGAAACAGTTTTAAAACTTCTATCCCTATTGTAAAAGATGCAAAACATCCTTTCATGTATGAACCACTATGATTTATGCATAAAATGAACTACAATCAGTGGGGTTTACAAATTTAAAGCTAAAGTAACAATAGCTGTTGAAAGGTTCTTCAAACTTCCACGGTGTCTTTAAAAAAAGGATTTAGGGTCCCCAAAGTTTCTGGTGCTAAGGCAAGCCATCTGAGAAATTCACAAAATATGGACAACTAACTGTCCAAACGGTGACAGATAAATAAAACTGTTGAAATAATTCATTTTTTAAAAGCTTTTGAACAGTTTAACTCAAAAAGGGACAGCTGCCCTGATTCCTTTTATTCTTCCTCTGTTTATCAACTTAAAACCTGAAACTTAAATCAGTTAAATTCACATAATATGGACAATTTTATTCGACACCTCTGCTCAGTTTCATGCAAAATCAACTGAAGTAAATCTATTTCCGTCTAATTGTTTTAATCTGCTTCTCCCTCTGCCTCCTGTGGTGTAATTTAAATTTCAAGCAAAACGTATTAGTTGATTTCATGTCAATAAAAATCGATAAATGGGTGTATTGTGAAATTGAGTTAGGTAACATTGCTTTAACCTCACTTGTTTACTCAAAAAAGGTCCAATGTCCATCTGTTTGAAGAACAAACACAAAGCTGGGTTCACAGCTTTACCTCCAGAGTACGCTCTGTCGGACTACTGTAGAAGTCATTTATGAAAAGTTTCACTTAAATAATAAAAGAGCAGATTTAGATCTGTATATTTCACAGGCATTGAAAAACAAGGTGATTTGAACAGAATTACAGGCTGACAAAAATAACCTTGTCTAGTCCTTTAAAATAGGTAAAGAAAAACACCTCGGGAATGCCTGCATCAGTTTAGACATTTACAATAGTGTCTCTTCTTTTTCAGATTAAAATAACTAATGGCCAGGAACTTTAGTTTGGTTTATGTTTTTTTTTTTTTTTTCAAGAGAGACAGTTAACCATCGAAACAATACACAACTTGGAAGAACATGTTAAATTTAGAGTGAAGGGAACACCTCTGGCATTAAGAACCAGTTGACCCGACTCGCTCCAAGATGCAGAAAACAAGATTGCCTCTTAAGGGGACGTAAAGGAAAGAGGAAATGATTTTTTGGTGCTTCGTTCATGTGGGAATATGTCCTTGAGCCATTTTAAAATATGTTTTTACTTTCAGGCATTCCCTTCGCTTAAAAAAAACAAAGCCACTTCTTGCTTTTTTTGTTTCTTTTTTTTTGTCAGCAAAATATAAGCCAGGCAAGAAACTGTTTGTTATTTTTTTATTTAATTATTTGAACAGTTTAAAAAAACACAAATAAGACTGACTATAATAACCCAATGGTAATTCATTTTGACTCTGTTTCTCAGCGAATCCTCTCACTGTGCGTTGGACTGTGAGGCCCCCCCTGGACATGCCTGTTTAGCTGCCCTGCGTGATGCCTGATCATGACAGCACCACCCTCCTAACCAGACAAACCAAACGCAGACGTGTCGACATCGGAGTGAAAAGGACCGTGGGTAGTGCTATATTCCCTCGTTCCCGGGAGACCCTGCTTGACGCCATGAACCAGTCACACGGCCCTGATCAGGATGGCGACTGCTCACTGGGGAGTCACGGCCATGGGCCCACCAATGGTGATGGGGAGAAGTCGAATGTACTCAGAAAGCTGCTGAAGAGGGCCAACTCTTATGAGGATGCCATGATACCTTTTCCTGGGGCTACTATTATCTCTCAGTTATTAAAGAACAATATAGGAAAGAATGGAGGGAGTGACTCAGGCTTTCAGGTACGAGTAAATCAGCAATATAGGTTAAAAATTAATGCTGTTTACATCAACAATTGACAAATAAGTAACTTTTTGTTCTTTTTTGCAGGGTAGTGGGGCTTTGTCCAGTGGAGGTTCAGAGATTCAGGCAGAAGACGCCTGTAGTAACTCTTCGCGGGACAGTCCATCTGACTGCCTTTCCCCTGGTCCTCCATTACCTCCTTCATCTTCTTCCTCCAACTTCGGAAGACCACTGCCACCCTCAAATCACATTTCTCACACCTCCACTCAATCCTTAACCTCCTTCGACTTGGACAGACTGTCCGATGAGCATCTTCGTGCCAAGAGAGCCCGCGTAGAGAACATAATCCGTGGCATGAGTCACTCCCCGTTGGTCCGTCCCAGCGGCGGCGACCACAACCAAGAAGGCAATCATGAGAATCAAAATGGCAGTAGCAACAGTAACAACCGCAGAGGGGAGGAAAGCGGCCGTCGTGGGGACTGCCCTTCCCTCTTAAGCTCTCCTGGTTCACGAGGTGGAGTGGTTGGCATCGGTGAAGTTTACAGAGAGAATAAGAGGAAGCAGCGTCTACCTCAGCAGCAACACAGTTTCACCCAGCTGGTTTGTTCCAGGCAGGAGCAGAGACAGGAAGAAAGAAGGCAACTCAAACTACAACTTGAAGACATGCAGGTAACCAGACCTTTTTTAAAAAAAAAAGGTCCACAATTTTTAGCCAATTGTTTCCCTCTTCGTTTAATTTCTTAAGCTTTAAATATGACATAAGAGTTCATCTGTGTTTCGTAAACAAATCAGTCTTTTATTTCTTTTCTTTTATTTGTGTAGAAACAACTGCGCCAATTGCAAGAGAAGTTCTACCAGATCTATGACTCTGAGACAGAGGAAGAGGAAGAAAATATAGTGAACGGACAAGCCAACCGAGGAGGGGACAGAGAGGAGGACGGCAACCTTTCAGAGGACAGCATCCGCTCCGACGGCCTAGAGGAGAGGCACAGAGACAGAGGACGGCACAGCCACGATGACCTTTCTGAACTGGACCCAGGACTGTTTCTCGACCGGGCTCGAGCCCTCCTCCGTGAGCAAGCGTTGATAGATGGAGAAATGGAGGAGGACGCTGACAGCAGAGAAGAGGAGGAAAGAAATGGAGAAAGGGGGGTAAAGAGGAGAGCAGTAACAGGAGGTGGGGGAGGTGGGGGTAGGCAGTTGGCCGAGACTCTGAAGCAGGAGCTAAACTGTGCCGTATCACAGGTTGTTGACACGGTTGTCAAAGGTTTTTCCTCTCCCAAACAGACTGCCAGTCACCATCATAGCTGTCACAGTAGCACACCAGCTGCACCTTCCTCTTCCTCCAACTCATCTTCATCCTGTCCACCACCTTTTGTGCCACTACCCCCACTTACCCCAGAGTCACGCTTTGGTGGCGGTAATTTGGCACTCAGCTTGAACGGTGAAGGCAGTCCCACCCCTAATTATCATTCATCCAACCAGAGGCTGCACTGCTTTGGGGATGTAATCATCCCCAGCCCCCTTGATTCCTTCGGTGGGCTGAGCAGCAGGCTTAGTGGTGTGCCAACACCCAACGATCAAACGGAGGCACTGCCATTGGTAGTGCGCAAGAGTGGTGGCAGCGCAGTAGAGACCACCAACCCTTCTCTTCCCCCCCCTCCACCTCCTCATCATCCCTCGCTCCACCCATCTCCGCTCACTGCTTCTCTTGGCTTCAGCCCTCCGTCATTTCGCCACCCGTTTCCCATCCCCCTCATGGGTTACCCCTTTCAGAATCCCCTAGGGTCACATGGAGGTGGCTACCCTCCAGGAACGAAAGACCACAGTCGGGTGTCCCCCGACTCTATGGACATAAACCGGGAAACTGTCAGCCTCAGAACCAAAATGGCATCTCTCGGAGGGGGCCACATGGGTCACCATCACCACAGACAGAGCTCTGAAAGCCAGCACGGACCAGAGGGCCTGTCGCTGTCCCTTATCAAGTCAGAGTGTGGGGATCTGCAGGATATGGCTGACATATCTCCTTACTCAGGCAGTACTGTATCCTTACCATGTTGATTGTTGAAGGTAATGTCTAAAAAAAGTCCTAGAAGAGTCAAACATTTCTTAAGTATTTTGCTAACTCATGAGTTCCCTGTTAGACATACTTCTAAAAACACCAAGGTATAGCCTATACTGATTTGGAAGATGAGCCTCAAAACTCTTGCTGTGATCCTGGATATTCATATTTTAGTTCTCTTGCCCACAAGAGTCACATTTTTCATAAAGGGAGGCAGCAGCAGGAGGCAAAGTGACAAAAAGTCTTTAATATCAATTAATCTGCATTAATTGGTTCCTGCTCTAAGCCTCTTGTTTCTACAGCGAGTAGGGAAGATGAAAAGGGCGCGCCGGGTCTTGCAAGAGGGGGAAGATTAAACAGGTCGCACGCTGCTCTCTCCAGCTCTTTTAAGTCTGTGCAGCAGGTTGTGTTGTTTAAAGGTGCAGGGTAGAGGCTAGTGAGCTCCCTCTTGAACATGCACACACACACACAGACACACACTGTTTGCACTGTCTGAGACACTCCGGTGCTGTTAGGTTCTCTTTCATCACAAAGACTTTGTACATAAACGCTCAAAGCAAATCATATTTCACTTTGTCTGAGTGCATGTGTGTGAGGTAAGACCTTGTTCACAGGAGCTCAAAGCTAATCATATTTCAAAGAGCATGTTAGAGGAGCAGGCAAATGTTTGGTTTTATTGACGGCAGCTCCCTAAAGTTGTGTGTAACAGATTTGTTGGCAATAATAAGGAAAAGAGTGTTATTTAAAAAGTGAAGTTCGTCTTTATCGTATTTAGCTCCATCTCCTTCACCCTAATGTTTTTTGAAACCCACCCACTCACTTTCATTTGTTGGTCCGTCGTTCTTAGTTGCCAGGCAGCTGTGTATGTTTAGTGCACACACCCATGCACGCAGAAACACTCCCCCCTCTTCTTTCATGGCGCATGCATGTGGACAGGTGTTTGCAGGTAGCTGTTTATCTTTTCATTCCTAACCTTTTATATGGGGGGGCATCTCCAGGCCACCTCACTTTGACTCAGACAAGAAAGCAAACAGGGACATGTGTACAAATGCGCACGTTTGAACAACAAAGTAAAAAGAGAAATAAGACTTTGAACCTGAAAAACGGGGACTCCTTGCAGCTGTGATGGGGTTTCAATTACAACGTCGTCTTCAAAGCTAATTTAGATGTTGCTTTCATGGAAAGACAAGAAATATTTGACGTGGCTCTTGATCCTGTTGAGCCGATTCATACCAAAATGCTCCTCTATTCATTTGTTAAAGAAAAACAAATCTTTGAAATGCTTAATTGATTTATAGACAAAGACTAAGCTTTAAAGCATTTTTTTTCCCGGTTTATTTTCAAAATCACATTCTTAATGAGCTAATAATTTGACAGAGTTCAAAGTTTTGAATTTGCCAATAGCTAAATTTAGTAAGTTTTGTTAGTTTGTAGCTTCACCATATGTACATCATATTTTTGTGCCGGAAATATATATATAGTTTGTTGTAATACTTAACATGAATTTTTAAAATTACTTAAAGTTTTTAAACAGTGCCATCAAAACCTAAATACTGCTTTTCTTACGATAATCCTAAGTAACATGCTGTTGGTTCCTTCTAGATTTTTCCAAATTTACTCTGATTTTAACATGGTGAAAAAAGGAAAATATCCATTAAAATAAAAAAAAATAAAAAAACAAATTGTTGAGAGAAAACTATGTGAAAAAAATCCAAACAAAATGTAAGCTAAGTACTCTTTTGAGTGAAAAACTAGCTAGCTTGTGGGTTGATAGCCAATGACTAGCTAGTACGGGTTACAAGTTAATAGGCAAAACTTACTTACCACATTTGGTTTGTAGCTTCATACATTCAGTAGCTTTTTCAAGTACAGTTTCTAGTTTCACAACTTAAAATTTATAAAAAAAATCACTTAATGTTGTAAACAATGCCATTAAACCTCAAAACTGCTTTCCGTATAATAGCGCTCAGTAGCATACTAATGGAGCCTTGTTTCCTGTTGTCTCTAGATTTTTTTTGACCAAATGTACCCTAATGTCAAAAGGTACAAAAAGTCGTACAATAAGAACATTAGTACTTAAAAAAAAAAAAAAGAAGAATCTAATTAAAACATGTCAGCTACCATTCTTTTAAGAAATAAAAATTCATTGTTGGTGTGTGGCAGCTAATTGCTAGATAGACTGAAAATGGGAATTTTTTATTTTAAAATGTTAATGTTATTGTCTCGATAACAATATTAATCTGATATAAAAAGTAAAAGACCCAATATAATGACACAATATATCTCTATTTTATTTTAATGCCTCTAAACAAATAAGATTAATAGGTTCAAATTGGACATATTTTCTTTTTAACCGGTGGTTAGAAATTTTGATGAATTAAAATAAAAACATAATTTCATTTGTACAATTCATCAATATCTTTTACCACACAGTTTGCAGTGATAGTGATTTATTTCCTTAAGAAATATGAATTATTATGATTATTGTGATTTCATCACACCTCCTGGTATAAATGTCAGCATTACCGTAAAAATAAGCAATATTGTCTAAGAGAAGGTGATTTAATTTTTCCATTTTCCAGTACTCTCTGTAATATTAATTCCTTTTGAACTAAACTCGTTTGCAAAGTATCAACAAGGGTAAAGGTGTTATTTATAAAGCAGTCACAGGGAGCTCTTTTCAACAAAAAAAATGTGATTTTGGCCAACGTTGAAAGATTTTGGCCTTTACTGGGTCAAACTGCAAAAAAGACAGCATCATCTCAAGGACTCCTTTAGGTCAATTTTCCTCGTTTCCAAAGCAACCACTAGGGAAGTATCTTTGTTCAATTTTCAAACTAAGTGAATCGAAAAATAAAAGACAAAATGGCAAATTAAAGTCACCAATATATAAATGATCAGTTAACTAATTAAGAATTTTATTCAAGTTGGGATGTTCCTATTTTTTGCTGTTTCCTCAAGACAGTTTGCAATGATCATCTTTCACCTGAAAGTCCTTTTTTTTTCTTCTTCAGCAAACACACTCAGGTCTCTGTATCTTTAATCCTTTAAATTTGAGCTGAGCAGATGTCCTCCATTCATATATGAATTTATCCCACTACCCTCCCTCTTTGCCTCTCAATCCTGCCCTCCCATTTACACACAAACCCCCACACACACACACCTGGTAACAAGGTCAAGTTACCGCTGGTATAGTGAGCTCCGCACAACTCCCACAGGCTCTTCGACAGACATGCGTGGGGCTAAACACAGACCAATAGGAAGGGAGAAGCGGACTAGTGGGGATGAGGAATGGAAGGAAAAAGAACATGTTGTTTATTAAGAGACCACCTTTAGCTACTATTACACAAAAAATTACCCAAAAACAAAGCCCAATTACTCATTATTCATCATATTATATCACCCTTGTTTACTCACAGTCCTGTTTAGTTTGTTTGTGTCGAAAAAACGGAACAAAATCCGGACAAAATGTACTGAACAAACGCGTAGTGACAGGTTGGTATGAATGTTAACAATGCGATTGTGTTTGTTTCGTACCCTGACCTGATGAATCCACCTCTAAATGAATGATGGATCGCGCCGAGATTTGTTTCTACATTGTGGCCGCATCAGGGTACTTTCCAGATGTTTGCTTGATTATGATTCGGAGAGGTGTATGATTATAAGGAAGCCCTGAAAACTAAAATATACCACTTTAGCATGTTTTTAGATTTTATCCTGTGCTTAGATAATTTTTTTTAATACCACTATTTTCCAGCTGTGGATGGCCCCTAAGGTTTTCTTTATGTGTGTCTGTGTGTGTGTGTGTCTTTCTGTCTGCTAATTGACCTTGCAGGGGGCTCCATTGATTGCCTCATCTTCTCTGATAGATTATAGGCCTTTTAATGTGGTGGGGAAATGGCAGCATGGTGGGGCACAGCTGTTGCCACGGCACACAAACGCACTAACACTCACTTGCTGTTAGACACACATGCTCTCGGCGCCCCTGAATTCAAGGCCCTCAAAATTATTATTTTTGTCGCAGAGACTGTGGGATGCAGGGGTGTTTTTGGGATTGGATCAAAAGCCGGCAGGTGCTAGTGTTTGCTTTGGGTTTAAACGACCGGATTCATCGCAACACCAGGACATCTTTGTTTATATGAATTTAAGCTAAATTGGGGCATGTGATATACAAATGTATGTTTTCCACTCAGTAATGAGTCAGAAGGTTCCAAAACCTTCCATGTAAGTCTGTTTTAGGCCATACATGTTTATCCAAACAGAGTGACCTCTTTTTGCCTTTTCATATTCCAACCATCTCAGCCCTTTCACATATACTGCAGCTTTGGTTGCGTTGTACTCGACTGTTAAATGTATGCCAAAAAAAGCAAAGAGACAATTTCTTCCAAGCTTTTACAAGTTAATTCTATTGATAACGATGTTTCACATCCACATTGACAATTTAAAGCAACTTTCTCTAAAAGACTACTGAATGGAAAAGCTGTAGAGTGACACATAGGTACCAGATCTCCTAAAAGTATCTACATTTCAGCACTAGTGGATAGAGAATACGGAAGTACTAAATAAATCAATAAAAAGTGTTGAAAATTTCTGAGATAAGTGAATATTCCCTTGAATTGAACAGGTAAGACCATTGTAATAAAATGACTTACATTAGATAAATAAATAAATACATCTGTTATTTTGTTTTAAATGCATAATATCTAATGATCTTACTTTAGAGACACAGATTGTCTTAATTGTTTCACTAAAGGGTAAATACTTTTTTTTTTTTTTTCGAAAAATCTTATTATTTTTAGATCAGTCTTTGCAGTGTCACATCAAGGGAATGCCTCACTGCAAAAAGTGAAATATATTTTCTTGAAATAAGTGTGTTTTACCCTGAATTTGAGCAGGTGAGTAAGACAATTTTCCATTGGAATAAAATAATTTAGGTACAAGTGCATAATAACAGATTATCTTATTTTACACTTTAAAAAACCCACATATTTACATGCTGAAATTAAGGGCAAATATTCCTATTTTAAGATTTTTTTTTTTTGTTATTTGTAAATCAGGTTTGGACAGATGCTGCTAATACCACAATCTTGTGTCAAATATGGAGCTGGATTGAACTCAAATGATTGGTTTGATCAGCTTGGTGTAGATTAACATTGTTGATAAAAGAGTAACGCCTTTTTTTAAAGTATAGGTGACATTTTTTGGATTTTTATACCTTTTTAACATTATAAATTATGAAAATTCTGAACTATCAAGAGAAGAAAAGAAAAGGTATAGTGGAGGATGTTATTTTTCCGGGTAGATCATCAAAATAAGTGGTCCTCCTAATTCTCATCATTCTGTTGATATGTTTACGTAAGGATGTCCTACATGCTCGTCCCCATTTCGACTTAGCAATGGTGAGGCTGACATAGTGGAAAAATTGCAAATCGTCTTTTGGAAAGTAAGCTTCTATGAGCGATACAAACAACAACCTTTAAACAAAAGTGTGCACGAGGAGAAATGGGCACATGCATGCTCTCGCACACGTTTAATAGTCGTTCCTTCTTAAGAACAGGTACATGGCGGGTCTATAGAACATTTGTGAAAATCCTCTATTATGCCTTTAACCAAAAATAGGTTTTTAAAAGTAGATATGTCGCTTTCTCAGATTTCTTTTTCCAACTTTTTTTTTTTTTTTTTTACTTTTTCAAAACATATTATATGTTTTCAAGTTTTACAAATGACATTCTTCTTAAACCGGGTTTTACAAATCATATTCTTGTCACTTGAAGCCCCTTTCAAAAGCTCGCTCTTAACACACATAAACCAATATGAATATTTTTGCTTGCATCCTGCAGACTAATAGAAATGCTTCTTCACTAATAACTCTAGCCTGAAGCCTACCCACTGAAGTGGATAGAATGTAATCTGAAAAATGTAATCAATAAAATGCAATTGTAAATTAAGAAATAAAAAAATAAAATGTTAAAAATTAAACCAGATTTCAAAAATTGTAATTGGAAAAATATATAAAAATAAGTGAAAACAAAAAAGTTCCTCTCAAAATCTTTTTTTGATGAAGTTTTTCAAGGTTTCATTTTGGAATACATCCTTAAATGGAGCGAACAACATTCACTCCATTTAAGGAAACATACCCCAAATGACTGACAGTAGTGTGAAGACTTATTAACAGCATGTAAACAACCTTTTCTTGCTAGCTAATGGTTTCCTAGCGGAGAGTAAAATATTTCATACTTGCTGTTTTTTATTTGGCTATATTTTAATAATATTTTAACATTAAAGTTTCAATAATTTAGTTTTATTATAATTGTTTTGAGGTCAGGTTAGATTAAACAGAAAGTCTAAGACAAACACAGCAGGCATTCTTCATTAAAAGCTTTACCGGTAATAGTTTTTCTTCTTTTTATTTTTGTTAAAATAAAAAGATTTTGCAGGGTTTCCATTTTTGTTCTTTAAAATGAAGCTCAGCTTCTAAATGCAGAAAAGGTGTAAAATTATAAATAGCATGATTTGTTATTTCTGTGTTAAGTTTCTTCAGTAACCATAAAAAATGTCTTAGTTTATGTGTCTGTCTGAGCTCTGTCGAGTTGAAAAACCTCTTCATGTTTCAGAACTTGGTCATTTGAAGTGATGTACAGTAGATTATAAAAAATGTTTTCCTTTTACCTCCTTAACATTCATGTCTCAGATTCAGGAAGGCTTGTCTCCAAACCATCTGAAGAAAGCCAAGCTGATGTTCTTCTACACTCGCTACCCTTCCTCTAATATGCTCAAAATGTTCTTCTCTGACGTAAAGGTAAGACCAGATCTCTTTGTTTTTTTGTTTTTTTAACATTGTCCTGTCTGGCGATGTGGCGATAAGAATAATTGTCTTGATGCCAAAAAGATAGCCCAATAGATTGTGTTTTCACAATTGGAGCAGTACGGCTATCACCATAGCGTTCCACTTGTCTTTGGTTTTAATCCTCCATTCCCTTTTGTGAACATTGATCTTCTTTACTGCTTTCTGGTTTGACTGTTCTTTTATTTTCTCTTGGATGATAAGCAGTTTAAAAGATATTTATTTAGAGGTAAATATTTCTATTAAAAACCTCCTACCTTTGATCTGTTCATACATTTCCCATAAACTTCACCATATGAGTAAACTACATGATATGCAAATACGAAGCAGGAAAGAGGGAAATTGGTGGTTTATAAAGTTATTTTTTAGTTAAAGCGAAAAGTTTCATGCACATCTGTTTTTATTCCACATACAATTTGGACTTTGCAGAATAACTCTCCTCCAACTCCTAAGCTCAGACTGATTGGATGGAGAGGAGGGGTGCAAATTGACAAGAATCTAGTGTTACGCTACATATCACGATTTATCCCAATTATTGTGATATATAAACAAAGACGATATATTGCGGCTATTAAATAATTCAGCTCTGGAAAAGCCAACAAGATCTTTATATTACCCTGCAACAGCTGGGAGTGGAGCAGCCGCATAACTGGTCTCATGTGTTGAACTGCCAACTAGTTGCTGGAGATTTAAGAGTTATATGAAAATAAGACACTAAAGTGGTTGTTTGCCAATATATACATTTTTTAAACATTTAGGATCTGTATATTTAATCAATACCGATATTGTCAAATTAAATACCAAATGATATTTGACAGGATCATGTTTTTTTTTATTTTTGGGAGCATCTTTGAGATCCAATATTGATGTCTGGTAAAAATTTCTAATATAATCTAGGTTTGGACTTTGACTGGGCCATTGCAAAATATAAAAGTAAAGTTTAAATGTAATTTGGCCTAAATTATTCCCTTATAGCTCCAATTTATTTATTTTTTTTCATGATGAGCCTGTTTTTAGCTTCTTTTATCTTCCCATCAACTCCAGTATGCTATAGTACTGCATTAGCCTCGTGAGACCATCCTGATCTCGCGAGCTTTCAAGGTTTCACTCGCAGATCAGTCTGGCTACTTTCCGTTAAAGAAAATTTGGAGCAGTTTACCAAACGAACGTCCAATCAGCGTTGGCTTTAAGGCGGGTTGAGGTGTGACGCAACGAGAAGCGCGACAGTTCAGTTTAAAGAACATGGCGGCTTCAGCCGATGAAACTAGCGTTAGCGTGGTTATCGAGCAAGTTTTATCGGCATTACAGAGTATTTCTTCACTGAAAAAACATAAACCACAAATATTCTTTGCCGACATGTTGCTTATTTGCTGAGCTAACGAGCCTTTACCTGCAGCAGCAAGAGTAGCCTGGCTTGTGGTTGTGTTTTCGTCGTCGCTCTGTTAGTACGTCATATGCTTCGTTGATCTGATTGGTTTATTTTGCCCGTCTATCACCAACATAGGCCAATCAGCTAACCAGTATTTTCGCCCCTTCCCAAAATTACTTCAACGGAAGGTTTCCAGATGGATATGCGGAGCAAATCCAGCAAATCCATCTGGCGGAGTCAGGTTACTTTACTTGGTTCACCCTTACAAATCTGATACGAAATCAGT